AGGGTTTCAGCCTTTAGGGTTTAGGGTTGCCATAGCAAGAACCCTAAACCTCAACCCCCCCCCCCAAAAAAATCAACCCAGCAAAGCTTATCACAAACATCCAGCCTCCACGGATCCACGGCCACAAAGGATCGTCACGTGGAGGCTTCCCGCAATCTCTGCGCTGGGCGTGTATGCGCGCAGCATCCGCGTGGCCTGGAATTTAGGACTTTCTAGAAATTGGGCTACCGACGGGAATCAAGGATATCTGAGGATCATAAGCAGAAAGTGATTCCCCTAATATACTCTATAAAGATCTGTTGGGTCATTCATGCGGAGTCTACCCACCAGCTCTTAGGGGGTTGGACCCCCAACTGACGTGGAACCCCTAAAGTCCCTAAAGAGGCCTTACATACAATTCTGTCCTTACCCGCCCTTTCGTTGCATGATTTAGGGTTCAGGGCCAGGGTTGCTGCAAGCCCCCGCTGCAGACTACGCATAGTATCGGATCTTTTGAAGCTCCCCCCTCAGGGTTTGGGTTTAGGGTTCACACACACACACACATGTAAGGATTTTTCCCGTGCGACTCTGAACATTTGCCACTGGTGAAAACAACTACAGGCCTTGCGTTTACCAAGCCCTCAACACTCAAAACCCTAAATACCCAACTCCTGTACCCTACAACGTTAAGCCCTGTACCGCGAGACTGCTACACCCTGCAACCCCCCATACCTTGAAATCCGTGAAGCCTAGGAAAAACTCTGATGGGGACCTCAAAGACGGAATCCCAATAATATGCAAGGAAAATGATAGTACCAGGGTCCTTATGCTGCCATTATGTCCCTCCCATATTCTTGGGGTTCCCTGTTGAGGGTGCCCATGAGAATCCTTCCAATACCCAGCCAGCAATTACAACCTCTCTAAGCCCTGAACACCAAGACCCATAGAAACCTTAATATAAGTTACCACAATGGGTATATATATAATAGTTAATATAGTATAGTGACTTATATTAAGCTTCTTAAATCCCTATATTCCCCCAGGCTGCATTTCGTTGTCCATTTGCTCTTTTCCCCTTGAATCTCCATCATTGGGGTGTATATCCCCCCTAAACCCTAAACCCTAAACCCTAAACCCTAAGCGCTAAAGGCCTCCACAGAGCCAGCCATGCAGGCTGTGCTGAATGGCAGGTAACCCAACCTAGCTTCCCAGACCCCTGGGAGGATCTAAGGGTTTAGGGTTTAGGATCTAGAAAGTAGAACCCCCAATTTGGTACCCTATACTACTATAGGGTAGTTCCTGGGAACCCTTAAGGGGGTTCTACTTTCTAGATCCTCCCAGGGGTCTGGGTTTGAGTTGAACAGAAGCTTAGGATTCAGGGTCCTAAGGCTTGGTTTAGCTTTTAGGGCTCAGGGGGTTTAGGCGCTTGAGGTTCAGGGTTTTTTGGGGTTTTAGGGCTGCAGGGTGCTGGGAATTAGGGTTGCGCGGCTTAGGTTTTAGAGGTGCGCGTTCTGTATGTATCTGTGAATGCAAGTTGGCCTTGAGCATCTTCAGAGCTTTCGAGAGGCATTTGAGCTGTAGTTTAAACTCCTTAAAGAGGGTTAAATAGGGGACTATGTAGGGGAGTATCATAGGGGTTGTTAAGGGGGATACTAGGAGTTTAGAGTTTAGACTATAGCTCATTTGGTAAGTGTGGTGCCAGGTCTACGGTCGAGCGTCAAGAGTTTGATGGTTTGAGTCTACAGATCCTGCAGGCGCTCCGGCTTACTCCTTGTTAATAGAGAACGGAGGAATGGATCCCTAGAGCAGACGCTAAAAAATCCCCACTAACATAGTGGTGTCCATTTGCCATTTCTTCGCTCCTACAAACAACCAGCAAGCGAACCCTAAACGCTACGCATCCTAGTTTGCATTTTTCCCTCCTGCTTTTCCTTCAAGGCTCCCCTAAACCCTGAACCCCTAAACCCCTGAACCCCTAAACCTAAATCCCTAAACCCCTAAAACCCTAAACGCTGAACCCTAAGGCTCCTTCTTCCAGCAAGAAGTAAGAAAATACATGACGGGTTTTGGTTTCAGTTTCACAGTGGTCCCGAAACTCAACTACTGAACCACAGTAGGGGACTCAGGGAGCTCATAATTCGGCTTGGGGTTAAGGGCTTAGGGTGTGACATGCGGTTTAGGGGGTTCAGGGCTTGGCGGGGACTTCGACGATGACTTCGAGGGCATTCGGCTATAAATGCAGCTATCATTGGGTTATGAATACCTTGAACCTCCAAGTAGCTCCTTGCAGTGATTGCTGCACTCATAGAAAGCATAGAGCAGTTTGGGCGCCAGTCCCACATTCCAGGCCCAATGTTCAAAAGTACAAGCCCTTGATCCGAATACTCAAGCTAAATAAGGGGTATATAGGGATAATGGAAAAGAAAATGGAAACTACAGGGATTATAGGGGGTATACAGGATTTCTGTAGGGATTATAGGGTATACATGGTGTGCGCAAAGTGACAAAGTACCGAACGCCTATGGAGACGACGCCGGCCAGGGGCCAGAGTTTTCTGAAAACGAGCTCTCAATCAGAAGATCCCCCCACACAAATGATGACCACATGGGGGACGCATGTTTACCTTGGAAGCCCAGTAACCATATTACAATAAGGGTACCCTTTTTTCTGTTGGTATATTATATATGGGAACCCAGAACCCAAAAAAGGGTAAAAGGGTACCACTGGGGTTCCTAGTTACTGTTACTTTGCCTCAGTATTCTGCTTAGACCATGATTTGTGTAAAAGCCGCCCCCAGAGCTAAACTCCGAATCGACAACCAAAGCGTAAACAATGGGCCTGCTACTAAGGAACTTCGACTAAGTTGTTGTAATAAGAAAGGCCTGTTATTTGTCTATATACCCATTCTATGGCCAGATGAGAAGCATGTTGGGCACCAACGTTGCGGCCTGGCGCTGCTCGTAAAGAAGCCTGAGAGCCCCGCCCCACCCGAGTTTCAAGCTCAGGGTTTTCATTGACAGAGTTCTGAGCTTTGTGATAGTTGAGTCTTCGGTTCTAAGCTTTCACTCTGAGCCCTATAAACCCCAAACCCTGACCCAAAACCCTAAACCCTAAACTTTAATCTAAACCCCAGGTCGCGCGAGACAGCCTAATGAAACGGGCTCAAAATTCTACAAAATAAAAGCCCTGACACCTGCAAACTTGTCCTTGTATACGAAATAGGGCACGAGGTTTAGGGTTCAGGGGTGTAGGATGTGGGGTTCAGGGTTTAGGGTTTAGGGGTGTAGGATGTAGGGTTCAGGGTTTAGGCGTGTAGGATGTAGGGTTCGGGGATTAGGGTAACAATGTGGCTTAAAAGTGCATGGCTATTTCCAGATGGCGGTGACCCTCTCAGCTCCCTAGCCCTTCTCCCTGCATATACGCATGCACATGTCAAAGTCATGGTTGCTTTGCGACTTTGCTGCGGTTGGGGGTGCTAACAAGGACCTTTGCAAACCCAACATCTCAGCCGCCACCGAGCCCTGAACCCTAAAGTTAAACATTCAAGCCCTGTGCCCTCAAAGCTCGTGGCGAAGGAGCTGAAGACCCTCTGCGTTGCCCGCCAGCGCGGCCCAATGCATGGCATTGTGTCTCAGATCGTCCTGGCGGAGATTGGCTGAATGGCTGTGTTGCTGATAAGGAACCTAAACGAAATTACAATATCAAGGAAACCCTTTTACTTACTATATACCCATATTATGGTAACGTAATTTAAGTTCACTTACAGCAACCCAGATGGTGCGTGCGTATGTGAGAACTTGGGCTCACGAGCCTCCCCTCGGGCAAACCTACCATGGAACCCCAATTTTGGTTGAAAAAAATAGCTACATGAGCCATAATCTTCATTCCTTAAAGGGGGTGATATAGGGGATTGTATAGGGGACTGCTAAAGGGGATATTAAGGGAATACTAGGAGTCTAAACAGTAGCTCACATGGGGTTCAATCTTAGTTTGGGGAAGGGTATCTGTCTTTGGCCGCCGGGAAGGGTGAGCTTATGATGGGGTGCGGGTCTAGACTTCACATGGCCTTAGAGTTAAGGCTGGTGGATTTAGGATGCTGGACTTAGGGTTAGGCTGATGGAGTTGGGATTAGGGTTTAGGGTTTAGGGTTTCAGGTTTAGGGTTTAGGGTTTAGGATTTAGGGTCAGGCTAATGGATGTAGGGTTCGGGATTATGGGCTCCCATGCAGGGATTTCTCACCAGCCTCTGCCAGAACATCGGCCCGAGCATCCAGTAGCACACGGGCGGCGTCATTGTTCATCAGCGCAACCTGGGTTGCTGATAAGGAACTTGAATTAAGTTACAATACCAAGGAAACCCATATCATGGTAACTTAGTTTAAGTTCCTTAATTTACTATATACCCATATTATGGCAATTTAATTTGCATTCCTTAGCAGCAACCCAGCAACACAGACTGATAGAGCACTCATCCTGGGTGCAAAGTTGAACAGGACGTCGTACTTTGTGCTGCAGGCGTTTGGATCCTGCACTTTCACAACCCCGGGCAAGTTTTGGCCCTACCTAGACCCTCCAATGTAGTTCCTTTTTTGGTTTGGTATGTTTTTTGGTTAGGACTCTCCCTAAACCCTAAACCCAAAAAGGAACTACATTGGAGGGTCAAGGTCAGTCCTAAATCACCTAAAACAAGACATTAGTGAACATGCTGAAGGGATTCCTCAAATTAGGGTCTCCCCACATTACTAACCCTTATAATATACAGGCCAAGACAATGCCATACAACATAAAAAATCCCAATCTTTATCTAAGTAGCGGCGTTTTGCTCCAAGAGACTTGCCATCAGCATGGGGCTGCCATCCAAGGCCGCATAGCCTTCCGTGTTCAGTTGCTTGGGGTTTTGGAAGTTACTCTTGGCCCTTTCTTACCCAAGCTTTGCTTGAACCATGTGAGCCATAGTCTAAACTCCTAGTATCCCCCCCTATATAACCCCCCTTTAAGGCGTTTAGACTACAGCTCATGTGCTCCAAACTCTGAGTGCTAATGCCTGTCAACCCCGAAGCCCTAAACAAACTCCCGAAAAGGAATCCTAAACCCTTTCTTCAACCTTACACCACCACGCCAACCATACTTGAAAAAGATCCTATGCATTGGTGCAAGGAAACAATGCCTCTTGTAATGGTAAACATCAAATCATCACTATAACCCCTATATGGGCCCAGTTTCGATGTCATTTCCAATTTGATTTTCAATTCCGTTCTCCATTATTGGGGCAGTATCCTTAAACACTAAACCCTGAACAACTATTGAGACTCCTGCATTACCACTGGACAGGCGAGTGACAAATCGGTGGCCAACCCGCAAGATCAGGGTCGCGGATCGACAAAAACCCATTCTGGTACCTAAGGTGCTTACAGAGGGCTTTAGTGCTGCAGAGGTTTCAGGTTTAGGGTTTAGGGGTTTAGGGGGTTTAGGGTTTGGAGTTTAAGGTTTGGGGGTTAGGGTTTAAGGCTATAGGGTTTAGGGTAACTGAGCTGCTCGCGCGTGGGGTACTGCCTCCGCCACGTAAAAGTCTATGATAAAGTATATACCATGGTCTGTACATAGCTGCATATAACTGTATGTCTATAGTTGTATTTTAAACATCATCATCCATATAAGCTATAATCTAAACTCCTAGTATCCCCCTTAATAACCCCTATAGTAGTCCCATATATAATCCCCTCTAGAACCCCCTTTTAAGGAATTTAGACTACAGCTCACATGTTGCTGAACAGGGGCAGCACAAGCCATCACCCTCAACCCTAAACCTCATATCTCCTATTATTACCATCAGTATTGCTATTATGCCCTAAACCCTAAACCCTAGACACTGGACCCTAAACCCTAGGGCTCAGAGGCTTCAGGGGCTTGACGCTGTGCAAAGTTCAGACTTCGGGTTAGGAATGGACCCACGAGCTAAGGAGGGTTTAGGGTTTACGTTAAAGTTTAGGGTTTAGGTTTAGGGTTTAGGTTTAGGGTTTAGGGTTTAGGGTATAGGGTTTAGGGTCTAGGTGTAGGGTTCAGGGTTTAGGGCTCCGGGTCTATAGTGCTTTGGGGGTGAGGCTAGGGGGGTAAGTAGGAATAATGGGGAGACCTGTGGCTGGCTATATGTGGCTTTTGAAGGTTATTTTCAGTATGCCTACCAGGTCCTCCTGACCCTGTTTCAGTGCTGAAGCCTACTTGGAGGGTCAGGGGAACTGGGTGAGTAGGAATATCGGGGAGAAATGTGGTTATTATGTGACTTATGGGGGTTCTAAGTATGTTTACTAACTCCTCCTGACCCTGCAAGTATACCCCATACACCTTGAAGGACACACACCGGTTTGTCTGTAAATTTGGTTCTAAACTTGAATGTTGGCGCTTCTGTCTAGCCTGCTTCAAGACATGCCCTCCGCAGATTCATCAGCCACTGGAGTCTTCCGGGTTTGGTTTTTGCGTTGGATCCCTTTCCTATAGCCCCAACCTCCCAAACCCCAAGCCCTCAACCCTAAACCCTGCTGCCAGGGTACATGAAGTGCTCAACAGCCAGCACAGCAGGGTCGTTAGTCTGCGAGGTGAAGCCAGGGACAATATCCTTCACAGAACTCTAGGGTTTAGGGTTTAGGGAACTACAGAACTTAAAGGTGCTGAAGGGCGGAATGGGAAAATGGAAAAGACAAGGAAATTACATGGAACTCCTGTATTATCCAGGTGCTGAGATATCAAACCCCGAACCCAAAACCATAAACCC